GGCCCCCGCCGCGCCGCGCCGGCCAGGGGGGCACCGGGGGGCCACGGCGGGACGCTCCGGGGGCCGGTGGCAGCGCCGGGACCCGCGGGGGTTGCCGGGAGGGCACTATGGTAATGAGCGTCCAGGAAGGCGCTGCTCGGGCCGGGGGCGTGGGCCGGGAATCGCCGTTTGCCATCCCCGGAGGGGGCGCACGGAACCGGGCTGGGGCACGCTCGAGGAGCGCCGGGGAGAAACGGCGTCTGCCGGGTGCCACCAGAGCAAAGTCATGGCCCAACAGTTTAAAACACGTCTGAACTCCTAAAGTATAAATCACTGAAAGTTTAAAACACGTCTGAACTCCTAAAGTATACATCACTGAAAGTCGTTTAGACTCACGACGCTGCCAGAAAGGAGGATGTGCTCCACACCTAAGCCCAGGGGCAGAGGGACAGGCAGGGTGGCACTGCGCACCGAGGGAGCAGGATGCTCCTCTTCCGTGTGATCACAGAATCACACACTGCTGCACAGACCTCAGGCTCACCTGGTCTTTGAAATAACTGTAAGAGACCAAAAAAAAAATGGATTAAAACTTTTTGCAATGTTTTGAACTGTTTAGCAAGAGTTCTTTGTGAATGCATTTGAAAAGCAGTCCAAATCTTTAGAAAGAGCCCCTTGTCTGTAAGACTGCTGGGCATCCAGTGCACCCGGCTGCTACCATACAGCAGTCTGGCCTTCCTCATATTATTTGTTCCTCAGAAATATAAGCCTCATTTGAAGAAAAACGAAGCAAACAAAAAACTAAAATTAAAAAAAAAAAAGAAAAAGAAGGAAAAAAATGAAAATTTCTTATTGCCAGGCAAACTAAACAAATTATGAGGTGATTCTTGAGACTGAAACCTCAGCAAGCAGAGAGGTAAAAAGATGGGTTCCTGCCAGGGCGCACAGAGGCAGCAGCAGACAGGCTGGCACTGCCCTAATTCCCAAGCTAGACATGTCTGTAACAGCCCTCAGTGGGTTTTTCTTCCATTATTCATTCAGTCACATTTTAAGCCTGAAACATGTTAGTATCAGTTAAAAGAAAACGCATCTTTTATAACAATGCATTTTGTCACAGCTACCACATGCATTTGTATGGAATGCGTTCGGACTTTAACCTCAACTGAGGGCTGCACCGGAGCGCTCAGACATTGGGAACACCTTTCTCCCGCTCTGGCGCATGGGAGTTGTAGTCTCTGTGCTCAGGGTTTGTTTTTTCCCCTGAACTACATTTCCCAGAGGGCTGCCTCGGCTCGGCCGGCGCTGTCCTTCCGCGGCCGGCAGCCCATGGCAGGTGAGTTCGCAGCGTTGTTCAGCGCCCGGCGCTTCTGTCCCTACCGGCTTCGGTTCGGCTCGGCTCGGCCGCCCCCCGTCCCCGCCGGGGTCACGGCACCGGCCACGCGTGGGGCTCCGCATGGCGCGGGGCCCTTGGGATTTCTGGCCTGTAGATTTCTTCCCTGTTTCTCTTCTACCTTAACCTTGCCTGATCTTTTCCTGCCGAGCATCTTGGGTGTGTGCTAAAAACAAACGCTAGCCTCAGATCTCCCTAGGTCTGTTTAAAGAGTTTCGCTTGTTATGTAAAGTAGTTGTGTGGGGTTTGGTTTTTTTTTGTTGTTTTTTTTTTTTTTTTTTTTTTTTGTTTTTTTTTTTTTTTTTTTTTTTTGTTTTTTTTTTTTTTTAACGGAACACTTTCATTTTAAAAGCAGCTTTGTATTTGACAAGAAATATTCCATCCTGTAACATTTTCTCTTCCATCGTCCTTACCTGGTTCACAGCAGCTTTCAAATGTATCTAAATGGATCTGTAATTTTTCTTTTCTCTCTCTTGTGGGCCGACACCTATTATATTTCTGTTTCATTTCACCTCTGAACATTTCCTTCTGAGAGATCTTTTAATGATTAGGGGCAGGATTGAAGAGTTTTCATCAGTTAAAGCAATTTAATTACCATCAAGCTGGCTTAACAGCCTTTGGGGAGCATCATGACACAAGTTACTCTCAAAGCAAATTAATTTATTGGGAGACTTTGTCCCTTCTAATTAATTCATATGGGAAATTAAACCTCTTTGGAGGGAATGCCGAACACGACTCCTGCTAAACAGCAAAACAAAGCAAAAATCATTGCAAACAGAATCACTGCTTAGATACAAAAAGCAGTTCAGACTATGGAGTCTGTCCAATCTTCCTGCATTTCAACTGATGATGACAAAAAGCCTTGAGAACTGAAGACTAAGTGAGCCAAATCTGCCCTTTGCCACTATCAGCAGTTTAATATCACAGTGCTTGGAATTGAACACCTAAACTTCAACTCTATCTAAGCCCTCAGTTCCCCACCAGTACCAGGTCTTACAGTAAATGGAGCAATATTCAAATACATCTGAAGTTTAGGTGTTCAGGAGATCATCCCCTTTTATCAGTAAATAAAGTTCTGTCTTTCACATCTCATACAAGCCTCCCTGCTTAGGGAGATTTAAGGAGGCAGAAATACCAGACAGTCAATTCTCAGGAATGTTGCTTCCAAAGCTTTTTGTACGTTGTTGCAAAACCATAGCAAGGCCCAGAAAGAATAGTTTTAAAACAATGAAATAGAGATAGAACTGCAGACTGCTGGAAAGCCTAAACAAAATCAAAGTCCAAACCCATCCACTCGTGTCTCAACAGGTCCTGCACACAATTCCAGGCTACTTAGTCAGCAAAGCCATCCACCCTGCCTGTCCCCAGCAGGGCATGTCATTCCTCCCTTGGAGCAGGGTGTCCCTGCCATTCCTACCTGCCAGGCCGTTCCTTCTGCCCCAAACACGTTGGATGATCCCTTCTCTCCCAGAAAGCCTCTGTGTCTGCTGGAAAAGCAAAGCAGTGCCCATCCAGCTTCCCACTGACTCTGGGGAGGTGGCACCCACAGAAGAGGAGGTGCCAGAGGCATTTAGACAGTGCCCTAATCATCTTCAGTCTCATTTCAAGGCCTGTCCTGCACCAGGCCTTTGTAAAAAACAAAAGCAAAAAAAAACCAACCAAAACATGCCACACAGGAGTAACTCCAGTCAAGGCCTTTGCCAGAGGAAAAAAACATTTTGAGGTTGTTTTTCTCTCCCTTCCTACAACATGTGTTAAGGATAGGGTAAATATAAAAGACTGATTTGGAGCAAGCAGAATGTTAAAAGTGCAGAACAAGGGTTTTCTGGGGAGGAACCAGCCAGTGCTTCTGGGGTGAGGTGCTTGGCCTTCCTGCCATTGCCTCTCAGGTCTGCTGCACATACCAGGGAAAGACTTCACATGCACAGGTCTTTCTGGGCTCTTTCAAATCCTCTTAGACAGCCATCCTTCACTCCAAGGTAGAACAGCAGGAACCCTGCAAGTCAGAGTTGTTGACTTTGTGCTCAGTATTTCCCTCCTCCAAAAGGACATACTTGGATGGTGGGCTTTAGCTCATGTTTCCAAAATAATTTGTTTCTTTACTAAAAAGAGAGCAAAGAATACTTAACTGCATAATTTCCCAGAGAATTGCGAGCAAATGGCATTAAGGACATGCTTTTTGCTTTCTTTTACCTGCCATGTGTTCTGTTCCTGCCTTTTAGCTGAACATGTTCTCTGCCAGGAAGTGGTGTGGCGTTTTCGGAGCTGTCAAACTGCATCATTTCAGATCCCGTTCTGTATCCAGAGCCTCTCCAAACCTGACTTTCGTGCCAGCCTGTCTTCCCCCAGATCCCGCAGAAGTGGAGGAGCTGCAGCGCTTTGTTTCTAACTCCAAGAGGCTGTTTGTGATGACTGGAGCTGGAATCTCCACGGAGTCAGGGATCCCCGATTACCGCTCCGAGGGCGTGGGGCTCTACGCCAGGACAGACAGACGGCCCATGCAGCACGCTGAGTTCGTCCGCAGCGCCAGTGCCCGGCAGCGCTACTGGGCAAGGAACTTCGTGGGCTGGCCCCAGTTCTCCTCCCACCAGCCAAACAAGGCTCACCTGGTGCTGAGAGACTGGGAGAAGCTGGGCAAGCTGCACTGGCTGGTGACCCAGAACGTGGATGCCCTTCACACCAAAGCCGGGAGCCAGCGCATGACGGAGCTGCACGGCTGCATACACAGGTGCAGCTGCTGGCTCTGGGGGCTGGCAGGGGTCACTGACACGCAGCTGCAGTGTCAGCTGCTCAGAAAGGAGGCAAAATGTCCACACGGCATTCCTGGAGAGGACAGGCACAAAGTGGTATTGGGCTGGGGTGGAGAAAAAGATCACAACCCAGTGCTGTCCACAGCACGGTATTTAAGAAACATGACCATCACTCCATTTTTTGGAGCATTATTTGGATCCATTTCCTTGAAATTTGCATCCATTTCCCCTTTCCTTGGTACAGCAAATATCCTCTTAGTAAAGAGAACGAGGGGATCATGAGGATACAAGGACTATCCACCTTAAGCAGAGTGGATAGTGCCAGAATTGCATGGGATATGTGTACTGGAGAAGGGCCATCACAGCCTGTCTGGGATCACCCAACATTTCTAGATTAAAAAGCACAGCATGAACTGAGAGAGAGGATGCATGGCAGGGTTAAAAGCACTTCCTCTAGAGCATTCCTACAAAGCAACAGAGTAGAAAGACATCACCTTGATCTGTACTATTTGGTAAATAAATGTGGAAAATCATGACAGGCTTCCTAAGGAGCAAGTTAGAGTCTCCAGATCTTCAGCTGACATGAAACTCTCCATTAAGACTTTGCTCTGACTTTCAGGGTCTTCTGCTTGGCCTGTGGAGACCAAATCTTGCGTGCTGAGCTCCAGAAGCACTTTGAAGCTCTGAATCCTACTTGGAAAGCTGAAGCATTTGGGGTGGCTCCGGATGGGGATGTCTTCCTGACGGACGAGCAGGTGCGCAATTTCCAAGTGCCAGCCTGCCAAAAGTGTGGTGGAATCCTGAAGCCTGATGTGACCTTCTTTGGAGACACAGTGAGCCAGGAAAAAGTCAGTTTTGTACACCAACGCCTGGCAGAATCAGACTCCATGCTGATAGCAGGATCCTCTATGCAGGTAAGTAGGTCTGCCTCCCAAACTGTATTCCTACTTCTCTGCTGCTCTGCCTGCAATGATCCTTGGTCCCACAGCTGAGGACTACAAGTGGCTTGTGGATCAGACCAGCCTTTGCAGAGCTTCTTTGTATTTTATTTTTACTGTGGTTGGAATCTGGCTTTATGGGTGACCTGTTTGGGCTTCCCTGTCACTCTTTGTCAGTCTACTTCATGCTGCTGTAAATACCTCCATTTAGACCTCTCTGCTGCCTCCTCCATCAGGTCACAATTGTCCATAAAGGCAAGATACCTGATACAATTAATTCCTCACATTTTTTTACCTGAAATGTTTAGCCTTTAGTAGCTTTTTAGGCCTCATGATACACTGTGTGAAATACCAGGTTTTAGGACCTCTCATTCTTTATTCAATTCTCAGTAAGAGAGCTGAAATATCTCTACTGCTTGGGATTGTCCTTTGTATCACAATGTGTTTTCTCCACTAGCCTCTTATCTATAAGGTAAGGTAGCTAAACAACAGGAGTTTCTAAACACATAGAGGTTTTGTCATGGTGTTTATGTAAGATAATTCTCTTATCTATAAGGTAAGGTAGCTAAACAACAGGAGTTTCTAAACACATAGAAGCTTTTGTAATGGTGTTTATGTAAGATAATTTTTTCCAAGAACAAGTTCTATTACATTAAAAAAATGTTACTCTTAACACCTCCCAGAAGGAGAGAAAACCAAGGCTGCCTGATTGTGATTCTCTTGGCTCCAGGATACCAGATACAAATTTCTTAAGCTTGTGCTTCTTAAGCTTATAATCCTCTGTACAGGAATGATTGAAATGCCTTAGGATTGTTCTTGTACTACCTTAGCTGGTCCATGCAGGGACCATCAAAGTGCAGCATTTAAGCACCTGTGATAACTAATAAAAACTGCTGCAGAGATTTACTAAAAGCAAGGACATTTCCCTTCAGTCTGCTCTGAAGTTTCAGCTTCTATGAAACTGCAAATCCTTCAATGACAGAGGTTAAAAGCTGTTCTATTCTGTGCACTCCTGAGCAAAGACATTTCCTACCTGAGCTCAGTGCAGCTGCCTAATACAGCATGTATATACACCCCTTTTCCCATTGCCAACAGCAGCTATTTTATTCCTTGCTGTAACTCTTCTTTTGCCTAAGCTGCCTGTCATTTTGTTTTCTGGTACTCCTGCAGGTGTACTCTGGTTACAGGTTTGCCCTTGCTGCCCGGGAGAAGAAGCTGCCAATTGCAGTCCTTAACATTGGGCCCACCAGGTTGGATCACTTTGCATCCTTAAAGCTGAATTCCCGCTGTGGAGAGCTGCTGCCTTTGATTGTTTGCACATGACCCAACCAGCTGAGCTTCAGTAGCTGTCAGGATTAAAGTTACTTTTACAAGGTGAGTACCTTCCCTGGTCAGTCACCTTTCAGGGTAAGAATATGGGCTCCTGGAAAATGCCGAGACTGAGATGTGCTGACTGACAAAATGTTCCCTCACTGCACCAAAAGGTGGCTGTAAATTTTTATCTGTAATTGGTCTGCTCTGATGGGCCATTATACTGTTTTCCATGATCATAAACAAAAAACATAGTAAGTGCTAGCACTCCCAGAGAATTAGGTAGGAGTATCCAGAAGACTCAGTAGTGTAGAAATCCAATCCATTTGTTACTATCAAGAAACTACAGGGGATCACCTGTAGTTCCAGAGAACCTGATCACAACGGTTGCCTTTGCAACTGACAATTCAAAAGCTGTTCCTGATTGAATTGGTCCAGCTAATCCTAATCAAACACTGCTGTAAAAATAATCAATTCAGTCGATAAAGCAGTTTCTTTCTTTCCCCTCCTGCAGGACTCATCTCAGAAAGGGGAAAACTCCAATGCAAGAGGCAGCTGCGAGATGCAGTGCACAGCCGCTGAGGGCACCAGGAGAGGGCAGCAAGCCTCACGCGTGTCAGCCTCACCAGTTCTCTCCATTGAAACCACGTATCAGGAAGCAGAATGAGGATGGAAAAAAAGTACTTTTCTGCCTTAGCTTGCCGTTAAACAGTGCCTTTTCATTCACTGCGACAGGATAATTGGACTACCATGTCTGAGGACAAAATACCTTTCTTTTAATTATCCCAGAGGAGAAGGGTGGGATGGGGATTTTGACCAGGTAATTTGAGGCTGGAGCACAGGAGGGCGGTGTGGGACACTGCTGGGGGATCCAGTGTCACTGGTGGGATACTGTAGAGTGTGCAAAGAGGAAAAGGAGGCACGAGGAACTGCAATGGTCACTTAAAAGAAAAAAGGTTCAAAATAGAAGCTGAACAAGAACACTGCTCTTGTAACAGGTTATTTGGAAGGACAGGCTATAAGGTTGACATCTTCCAGCAAGGAGGGGAAGTCAGCATTTCTCTCAACTGTTGGTTGACAAGCTAAACTGCTTCCTATCCAACCCTTTAAAAATTAAACATTGTTGAGATGCCACAGGAGTTACTTGAAGCTAATCTGACCAGCACTACTTTCAGTGAGGCCACTACATTTTCCAGAATGCATTTTTGAAGATGTTATTTACTTCATTAATAGCTAAGGAATCAATTAAAATTGTTTAGAAGATTGAGACTATTTGCATTGTAATTTTCTCTCCCTCCCATGATTTAAGCACATTCTCAATAGCCAGTTTAGAGTCTTTTTTTCTTCCATTGCAAAAATGCAGTTTGTAATTACTAGCAGTTGATGAATTAAGAGAGAAATGAAATTAAACCTGTACAATAGGTCTCCCTCAGGAGGTAATCTCTGTTGAAAGGTGCAATTTCCACACTCCTAACAGGAGATCCATCACTACTGGGTAGTGATTTTTTGTTGATCCTTAGGATGGTATTGTAAGCTCCATCAAACTGTTCACAGAGTAAAGTACAGAACCTGGCACAAACTAGAACACTAATTTTTTGACCTGACCTTCTTCATGAAACTACCACTCCCCACTTCTAGCTCTGAGGGATTTAATTGTTGGGGTTTTCCAAGTGCTCCCTCCTACTCCAAGTAACATGTCCTGGACTAATATTTTGACAAGAACTGAAACACGCAGTTGGAAACAAGGACGGCAGAGTCATCTGCTTGCTAAAAGGTCAAGTAGCAAAGCAAGGACAACTGACCACAGGATGCAAAGTGAATTTTTGCTTTGTTGTTGATTTAAATCCATGCCAGGGGATAGCAAAAAAAGCACAGAATCTAAGGGATACATAAGGCATCCAATTTCTGCAGAAGGTAGAGGGCATTAAGATGCCTAACACATTTCAGGATTTGTCTGTATTGGGTTAGAGGAGAGACAGCTTCACTTTGAAGCCAGGCAAGAACAGTTCAGGACTCCCACCTGCATTCTGCTTGCATTGAATGGTGACTCCACTTTCCAATGACTCAGGTTTCTGCTGCTTGGCAGTGAGCAAAGCTCACAGATCTCTCTCCATCTTTAGCTGTGCTGTCCCCAGTACAGCTGTCCCACCAACCAAAGCTGTTGCAGAAATCATGCCTAAAGCACAGCAGAGTCTCCACATACACCATGTTTCCATGTAGGGGCTTTCCCTGTAAGCTGATGCTCCTTAGCAGAGGAGCTGGGGCTGAGTTCCTCACTATCCACATCATCTTCTCCCCCTCCTTCAAACTTACATGACATTGGTGTGTCAAAACCAGAGGCTGCAGGTTCAGTGCCAGTAGAGCCAGCATTTTGAGAAGGTGTGGGAGCATTGCCAAGCAGTTTAAATCCTGGAATGAGTTCTGTGACAGGTAACTAAACCTCCCACATCTACCCCTGCCTCCTCTCCAGTTCTGCAGCTGAGCCTGTGGGAGAGGAGTCAGGGTGTCTCTTCAGCATCACTCTCAGTCATTGCCCCAGTTGTACTTTTAAACCACCAGGACAATGACTTTGAATAAATGAACATAACAGTAAATTTCCTGTGCATGGTTTGTTACTATATGGTAATGAGCATATCTACAACAACTGTATGAGGCTGAGATGAAGAAGTTCCTTCTTTTTTTCTGCTAAGTTGATCCAGCACTACTAAAATTGGCCTCTTTTAGATCAGGATCAGACCACTTCACTTCTTAACATATTCCCCAAGATACTATCAAGTTTGTTCACATGAGAAATGCCTGAGAGAACCTAAAATTCCTACACCAAAAGCCATGACATGAAATTAGCTGAATCAACAGCTTTTGCTCTTCTCTTTTTCTTACAGCTGTTCCTCCTGAAGCTTGGATAGAGGAGCTGAGAGTCCCATATAATGGATTTTTCTTCTGCTCCTCTGAAAGTGGAGTTGGAGTTACCCAAAGCAAATAAAAGTTACTTCCTATTTGGCAAATCTTGACTTTGTTTCTGGGCAAATTCTCAGAGCAAACTGTAATTGAGTCCAGCAGCCTGAGGAAGGTATTTCACATACTGAGCTCCAGTGAGGGCAGCACAGAATGCAGATGGCCCAGAGGGTTTGGTGCCCATGGTTAAGTGCAGCCTCCCACATCCTACAGTCAGACTGCTCCTATTGACACACCTGCTTGTTCTTTAGTTCTGGAAAATGACCCAAAACCCTGGGCATGCAGAACTTGGGAGGATCAGTGGTGACCCAAAACCCTGGGCATGCAGAACTTGGGAGGGTCAGTGAAGGTGACTAAATCTGCCATCTAGAGTGTGCTTCTTCCTCTGTGACTGCCTTGGATGTCACCCTCTCCCAGCCTTTGCAGCAGACAGGGAAACAGCAGAGCCAAGCCAGATGGGCTTTAAAACCACTGTTCCAGACTGTTCCTGCAATTCTGTGTGCAGATCTCTGTTATCTCCCTTCGCACCAAGGAAAGGTACCCCAGTGCACTTCTTCCCTTCTGCACCACTAACTAGACAATGGCAGAGGAAAAGAGAAGCTGAGCCTGAAGAGGACGAGCAACAGTGGGAGTGTCTTGAATTGGTCTCCAGGCCCAAACAGAAACCGACACAGGATCATTACCATCAGCAGAATTGTTTTCTCTCTGCATGTCTCACCTCAGCTGGAGCACTCTTTTTCATCTGTGCAATGCCCATGTAGTTAAGAGTAATTCAGCTCTCCCTGCAGAGAGTGAAAAATCTTGGCATAGAAAACAACAATAGCGAAAAGATAAGAGACTGAGACTTCACTTCTGCAGTGAGCCCCCGGAGCTGCTCTCCCTGCTGTGCACCAGCTGTGGTGCTGCGTGGGGCCTCAGAGCTCCCCCTTGCTGAGCACAGGGACACCTTGCATTCCAGGCAATCCCTTTCTGGTTTCGAGCAGAGGCACAGGCCAGCATGGCAGATGTTCACACACTCCTTGTACTCCCCCAGCGCTGGCAGCTCAAGGAGTCACCAGCCCTGCTCTTACTCTTGCCACAACGTTCCTCAAAGCCCTAATGAGCAGCTTTGCACAGCCCCTTCAGCCTCCCCACCTGTGCTGTTCATTAGGGCCTGACACTCTGCACTGTGTGGGAAGGCTCCCTGTGGATGGGGAATGTTTGGATTTAATGGCGGGTCGTTCACAACACCAAAGCAGCATGGAAATGAGAAGCATGATCAAGGGACCAAACATAAGTGCAGGCTTATAAAATCTGTGTGGAGTAAGACAGATATGGAACCAATTGGAGCCTTTATCTGTCTATGGGGTTTATCTACAGAATGTTAGCCTGCTCCAAATGCTGAATGGAGTAGATATACTGCTCACCTCAAATCCAGAGTTCCTGTTACAGGCAAAATTCATACTAAGTTTCTGAAATGCTTCCAATGCACCCCAGCAATCTTCCCTACTTGTGATAATACAGCTCAAAAAAGTGCAGGGTTCCTTCCAGACAGTGATGATATTTTACTTTTTTTTCTCTACAATGAAGTTTATCACAAGGGGATTTTAGTAACATTTACTTAGGAGCTTTACTGTTCTACAAACAATAATTTCAGAGAATCTAAGCTAGTGAGCGAGTACAAGAGACCTCATCTTGCTCTTCAGCCCTAAGAATGATTCATTTTGGCCATATGACAGGGTTGCATCCAGGATCCTCAAGATTTCTGTGGAGGACTCCAAGCACTCAATGTTTCCAGAAAATTCACATACACAATCACCTGAGAAAAATAAGCAACCAATACTGGTACAAAACCAGGACTCAATCTACCATAAAATGGAATGTCTGGTGGTGACACAATTCCTTTCCCTTTTCAAGGAAAAGAAGAACTAAATGCAATTCACTATCCTTTCTCAATATCATTCTTATGCCCTCAAAGATACATTTACTTTCAGAAGGAAGGCATTGCAAGTACCTTCCAATAACATACCAAGCCAGCTTCTTCCTTCCCCATTTGTTTCTCATTTCCCAGAGCACTCTCAGATCCTCGGGGTCTGCTCCATGTTTGTGTACAGTTAATTCTGGTGATGAACCGGGCCCTCCTCATGCCCTGCCAGAAAGCAGGGAGTGTGTGTAGACCCTGCCCCAGAGTTCACCCACACCTCCAGAAACATCTGACAGCAAAACCGGTCCCAAGGGTGCGGGGCAGCTTCGGCACAGGACCTTGGCAGGGCTGGGAAAGTGGGGCAAATACTGTCCCTCTGAGGGGCTCCCTGCCCTCCAGGCCGACATTACCTCCTCCTCTGCAGCTCCTGGCTGGGACAGGGCAGGGGAAGGGCTCCCCAGGGTACGCACACAGGACACCCTCAGGAGAAAGGAGCACCAAACGGCTCAAGACCCTCACGCAGCAATACCCCGAGGAAGAGGGACAGCAGCGCTGTGGCTGACGCGGGGACAACCCGAGGCGAGGGCGGCTGAGGGAAGGCTTGAAGGGCGCTCTCGGGAGCCCCGGGGCGGTGAGGGCGGGCAGGGCGGTGTTCCCGGGCCGGTGAGGGCGGGCAGGGCGGTGGCCCCGGGGCGGTGAGGGCGGGCAGGGCGGTGTTCCCGGGCCGGTGAGGGCGGGCAGCCGCAGCCCCACCCTCAGCAGCCCCAGCCCGCGGGTACCTGAGGGGCGGGGCGGGGCACGCGAGGCCGCGAGCAGGCGCGCCCTGCCCCCGCCGCCCCCAAGGGCCAATCAGAGAACACGGGGGCGCCTCGCGCGCCGCACGGGGCCGTGGGCAGAGGGGCGGGGCTTCCCTCCCCCTCACGCCCTTCCCGCCTTTCCGTCCCCTCAGCGCGGCGGCTTGAAGTATCGGTTTAGGTTATTTATTTGTTTATTTTGTCGTGCGGCTGCCCTGAGGCACATGAGGGTGACTATTTGCAGTATTTGTTCTTGTCCAGGTGCTTGTACTGGGGGTTGTAGGGGGCCCTGGCGAAGCACATGGCAGCGGTGCGGTCGCAGTTGCAGATGAACTCGGCGCAGTCCTTGTTCTTGCCTGGAGGAGAGAGGAGCGCTCAGAGCCCGCGGCTCCCTAGCCGGCCGCTGCAGTGGCTCGGGCTGGCATTTCTGCTGCCATGGTGTACCCGTTTCACTGCTGCCGTCGTTCTGGGGGTGCACAGGCTGCTGCCCACTAACCCCCTGCCCCGAAAGCTGTGTGTTCCAGCCAAGCCATCTCTCTCCTTGCCCCTTCCTCCCTTCCCTGCAGCCCTATTTTCCAACCTCTGCTCTTTACCTCTGTTCCAGAGCCCTGTAAAGTCTCCACTGTTCATCAGAGGTATCTAGCAGAAACTCAGAAACTCTATAACAATGCCAAGTTAACATGCTGATCTCTTGGGTACTGCCATTAGAAGGCCTCCCAGAAAAGTACTCAATCCCCTGAAGACTAGACAGGCTTCTCTGTATTCTGCTGTACCATACATCTTCACAAACTTTGAATTGTGGGCTATATAGAGAATACTCATTGCAGTGCCTGTGTGAGGTGCCCTCTTTCTAACGACCAGGAAGAACTTGCAAGAGCTTGCACTGTGCCTGCCTGCTGCAGAGGTGTGAGTGTAACACAGCCCTGCTCTTTCCTAAGAGAGGCTGGAGAACATCTAGAGTGAAATGGAAATGGACGTACTGCTACATGTGACCTGCCCATTAGAGCAGGTGTGGTCGTATATCTTAGTGTAGGGGTTGTCCAGGAGGAATTTGCAGGATTCCATTTTCATTGCCTTCGAGTAGCAGTTATCATGTGTTTGGCAGCACCTGGGAAACAAGGAGAATAAGGTTAGAAAATACCAGAATCACAGGCTCAACTGACCTGTAAGACACACAAATACGTTAGATTTGCTTTGACAAGGCTCTTGACAATAAAAAAAAAAAAAGCCAGCAATAAGAGGGCAGACACAAAGGACCTGAAAGGGATACAGTTGTGCCAGCTCATGGTCCAAGAGGTGTCTGGTAAATACGTACTTATGGGAGCACCTTCACAGTTGTCTGTTGGGCACAGGGAAAGCCAAAGCCAGTGTTTACCCTACACTTCCCCTCAGTGCCTGTAGCTGATAAGCTCTCAGCCAACGCAATCCAAGACAAAGCTGCCAGATTTGTGTGTCTCTAAATTGCCCGTGCCATTTCCTAGCATTTTGCAGCCCAACCTGTACATGTTGGTCAAGCACCAGGCAGAGTGTGCAGAGCTGTGTCCAGGCTGCTGGCCCAGCCCTACTGCAGAGAAAAAAAATGCAGGAATGAGTACACTGTGCTGCCATAGAAGAGAAGAGCTACAGTAATTATGTTTTATCTTAGTAATGAGGCATCAAGCTGTGGTAGCGCACATCCTTTTCCAGAATCCATCTGTGAAAGAAAGCTTCCTTCACAGTAGCCAGAGAGTTTTGTAGGGCAGGGCCAGCTGAGATGAAGCTGAAGCAGGAAGGCACAAGCAAGGAAAGGGGTTTGTAAAAGCAGAGTTACGAACCTGTCGAGCTCGTCCACTGGAGTGCCGCTGCCCCCCAAGCCGCAGTAGCAGCCGTAGTCATTGAATTCCAGCAGCGGGTGGCTCTTGGGCAGGGTGCACTTGATCATCTCTCGGAACAGCCACACGGCCCGGGGCGAGACCTCGGCGCTGGCTGCGCCCGCTGGGGACAGACACACAGGGGAGGGGGTTACAGTCAGCTTTGGGCTTACCAGCGCGAGGACCAGGGCACCTACACACCCGACAGCAGGAAAAGCAGGGCCAGGAACTTCATTCTCACAGCTCTTGACACCAACACCGCAGCTAAGGGAAATGAGGCTTTATACAACAGGCTCACCTTGACATGGGTGTGAGATAAACCAGCCAGTATTTATGTTACTAAATGCAGACTTCTTCCATCGGAGGCTGTGTGTGGTAGATTGTGGTGTGACCAGCTGAAGGCCAACTGAGTTAAATCCATAAAAACCTGAAAGGCAAATATTTGCTCTCTAGATTTTTGCTATTAAATTCTTGTAGTATTACAATTAGAAGTCAGCCTGAAA